ATGATTTGCGATGCTGCGCTATGCTATGCTACGCTACGCTATGCAATGCTGTGCTCTGCTATGCTAAAGCTCAGCGAAGCTAAGATGAAGGTAAGCTAAGCTAGGATAAAACTGAGGTAATATGAAGCTAAGCTAAGGTAAAATGAAGTAAGCTAAGCTAAGATGAGATAAGCAACGCGAAGCTAAGGGAACGTCACTAAGGGAACCGCGGGGCGGATGCCGGGGGAACCGCCCGGGGCGGGTTCCACTGCCCGGCCCTTTAAGCCTAATAGTAAGAACCCTTCTAGGCAGAGCCTAGGTAGGGAAAAAGTAGGAAAACACCGTTTAGGTCGAGCCCTGACTCAGAATAAGTGAGTGTGAGTAAGTGAATGGGAGTGGCCGAGAGAGTGTGAGTGAGAGTGTACATGATGTTGTGTTGATGCTGTGGTGATGATGATGTGAGTGCGTCAGCTTGTGAGTGAGAATAGAAGGGGTGTTCCTTCCATCCTGTTCCTGCACGGGGGGTCCAAAGAAAACAAAACCCCCACTTTGGATGTGAAGAAAAACATATCCTCCTCCTCCTCCGCTTTGAATAACATCGACCACATCGGGGCCGTTGCGTCGGAAATCGTGCAGAATGATGTTCACTAGGGCAGCACGGGCACCTGCAGAAGCAACGTGGCAGAGGGGGTGGGCAAAGAGACATGGAAACTACGAATGCGAGGGTCAACGACCTAGATCCAAAGAGCGGCCCGAGTGGTCCTTATCTCAGCGTCTTGGCTGCAGTCCCAAGCCTCCAGCGCATTGACCAGAAGGGAAGGTGAGAAGACTGGAGCGCTTCTGAGAAACCCCGCCGCCTTCTGAGAAGGCCTTCTCCTCCTGACTTCCCCCCCTCGCTCGCCGCCGACTCTCTCTGGGCCCCTCTCTGCGCAACAGCGCTTCGAGCCAGGCGCCGCGACCTGGCAGAGTGGAGGTCTTCCGCCGCTCCCGGGACTCGCCCCGGGGGGGGTGAGAGAGCGGCTCGGGGAGGAGGGGCCTGCCCCAGGCGAGGGGCAACGTGAGGAGGGGCGCTGGCTCAGAGGGGGAAACAGCAACTTGAAATCGGCGATAGGTCGCCGATAGATCGGCAATAGGTCTCCGACAGCAATTCCGCTGATCCTGTCGGCGTGTGGAAGACGCTTATCTGTTCGTCATAGTCGCCGTCGCCTTTCCTTTCTTTCCCTCTAGGCTCCCTCAAGCGCGCCAGCCAAAGCGAAGTGAAACAGCAACATCATACTCGAATCGAAGGGAAGCCCCTTCCCTTTGATCCCTTCCCCGCCGAGGGGGGGTCCTGGGGGGACCCGGCGGGGGTCCAAGGGTAACTCCAGGCCCCTGCGCGGCCCCCTGTGGAGACTGGGGACATGGAGTGGTGACCCTGTCGGTAAAAGAGCTTGCGGTGTTCAAGGCCCCCCCCCCCCCCTCGGCCCCGGCCCCGGCCCTGGCCCCGGTCCCGGCTCCGGCCCCCGCCCCGGCCCAGCCCCCGGCCCCAGCCCGGCCCCAGCCGCGACGGCCCCGGCCCCTGGCCCCGGCCCCCGCCCCGGCCCCCGCCCCGGCCCCAAGCCTCGGCCCGAGCCCCGACCCCGGCCCCAGCCCCGCCCCAGCCCCGACACTGGCCTCAGCCCCACCCTCGACCCCGGCCCCCGGCCCTGGCGTCGACCGTGGCCCCGGCCGAGGCCTCCCGACCCCAACAGAGCCGAAGAGGGCCCCAAGAGAGCCCCAGGAAGGGCTCCAGGGCGTCAGCGACGTCGACGACGTCGCCGCCGCCGCCGCCGTCGTTGTCGCCGTCCCCCTTGAGGGTCGGCGGCATCGGCCGTAAGGCCTTCCTAATCCGCACGCTCCTGGGCGGGGGTGGGCGATAGGGCCCCAGTCGGCGATGCGTGGGCGATGTGGGGTCCCCCCCGAGCCTATCCCAACCCAACGTTGTCCCTGAATAGCCCGTGCGGGTGTCCAATGGCGCCGTAATTGCTGGTCTTTTCGAAAAAGTGGCCCCACCTCCTCCCAATAACCACTACCCTCAGTATTTAGTGCCTGCTCTTCCTCCCCCTCATCCTCCGATCCAAATCCGTTCAAAATCACGCCCCAAACCCCTCCTGAGATCCACCCTAATATCTTTCTTAGTTATCCTGGATCCATGTCTGCAAGCCTTGGACAAGCGAAGAAAAGGGAACCGTCCTCCCGGCGCGACGTTGTCAATGTCCGCCTCCCCCCCGTCCTCTGCAGTCGAAACGTTGCCACAACAGCGCGGGAGATACTCCACACAACGAACATGCCAAAGCGAAGAGCAGCACAATAAATATTAGAAGGGTCATGATAAGGTGCCCAGAGACACACATAAATAGGCACGAATCCCAGGACCCTATGTTTGATCCTTCCTTTTTGTTGTGCAGATTCATTGTCCCCCCTTCTTCTTACATTTTCATATATTTTTGTGGAAATCGACGGTTGCTTGTGTCTGTGTGTCGCCCCCTCCTGAAATCAACCGTCCGAAGCGGACGAGCAGACCAACGAACATTCGAGGGTACCCCTCGCCAGCTTGCGCAGCGAAGACCACGAGGCTGCGAGGACACCCCTCTGAGAACAGGTTACATGCCGGCTGCGACCCTGCAACTTAACGGGCGAAGAACGGTATAACATAAACTTTCCAGCCGCCCAGGGACAGGCGCCCCCGACAGCGAAAACAATTATTTTATACCGTTCTTCGCTCGCTGAGCAACACCGAGGTTACTTTAGTAGTGGAAACAATTGGTTTTCAAAATGTTTGGTCTTTAGAAGCTCTGCGTGGCGACGCCCCCGTCGCCACGCGTGCCCTCTGCGTGCCTGCGGGGGCGCCGCCACGTAGAAGTACTGGAGACCGAGCAGTTGGGGCGTCGCTACGCACGCCCTCTGCGTGGCTGCGACCATTTGTTAAAACCCTAAGACCAATTAAATGCACTAATAAAGAATGCTTGACCCCCGTGCCAGCTGCCAAGGGACCTGCAATCACACACGGCCGGATCCGCGTGGGAGCACCCGGAGGCCACGCGCACGACACAGAAGGGCGGAGGCCCGGCGAGCCCGGCCGGCAAGAGGGCCGAGGCGCTGGCAGGGCAGCCGGCCACGCGTGGGCGAGGATCGAAAACGGGCCTCACGCGAGATGACGCAGCGGCCTTACGCGGTGGCTGCCGCGGGCCGCCAGCGCGGCACGCTACCCTGGAGACGAGGCGCTTTCGCGCGACCTCACGCGGGCCACTGACGCGCCAGGGCCGGCGCAGTCGACCCCGTCTTCACGCAGCGCTTACGTGTACCCAGTTCTCGTCCAGGCCGCCCGCGCTCTGGAGACCCTGCTTTTGTCGGCTTCCGCTGGCAAGCCCTCGCTTTACTTCCGCCGGGGAAGAGACGTCAATCTCGAGACCCCTCGGAGGCGAGGAGGCCCGTTCCAGAGCGCCCCATGTGTGTCCAGCTCTGTCCAAAAGATGTGATGGATGTTTTGAATTTCTATGCAGCCATCGGATACCAGAAGGTTACGCTGGATACAAACATGCACGGGATCTTCTGAGATCGGCGAGCCTCGGACCCGAAGAGGTTTCCCGACCTTGACCTTCAGGAACGGTCATCACGACTGCACGCCAGCCCCGAAGTACTGACCCTCGACCCCTTACAAGGCTGGCTTTTCTTCCCGAGCCGTTCCTTGACGGCCCCAGGGCCTGGTGAGGGCACCCAGAGACCGAAGATGGCGAAAGCACGTGATGTCTTTACTCTTGCCGTCGTTCGGACGTCCATTCCCCGTGCATTTGTCGGTTTCGTGCGCTCTTCTTTGTTCGATGATCCAGCATGCTCCTCGATGGCCTTCACCGAGAAAAAATGCACACGTCCGAGCGGTGCCAAAACAATATCTTTACTCAATACGTAGGATAAGCCAAAGTCAATATTTTCTCAAAGCTTCGGAGATCCGCGTGGATCTATTGGATCGGCGCTGGACCCCCCTCCATGACCCGCGGAGCGTTCCAGGTGTGGCGCCAGAGACGCCGACAAGGGCGTCTGGCGCCGATCCAAGAAATCAGCGCGGAACTCCGACACTTTATGTCTATGCAGCTTTGTGTTCTTCGAGTCCTGATCCCGCCCTGCCCTCCCCCCTCCGAGACCGAATGGAGAAACGAAAGAGGGCGGAAGAAACGAAAGAGACGAGAGGAACGAAAGAGGGAGAAACGAATTCGGACGAAAGAGAACAAAGAAACCAGGAGGGAAATAACATAACAAGGACGAAACGAAAGAGAACGAAACGGAAGAGGATGAAACGAAAGAGGACGAAACGAAAGAGGATGAAACAACAATAAGCGAACCGAGGCGGCAGAGGCCGAATCCGCTCACAATCGGTGCCCCGGACCCCTCCTGGGTCCATCTGGGGCTTTTCACCCTGGATCCGATTATTGACTGTGCTGGGGTCCGAAACAACCCCCCCGAGGCCGAACAGGAGGGAAATCCTCTCGAAACCAGCGCCCCTCCCTAAGCTGCCCGCCCCTCCTGCTGGCTGGGACCAGTACCAGGCCACCTCAGACCCCGAGACGGCTCCAAAAGCCTACCCCTCTAAGACGAAGCCAGGACGAGGATAAATTCGAGTGAGGCTAAATTGAGAATCTCTGAGATCCAGCGGCTCTGAAGGGTGTCTCGGGCGCCCCGGCCTTCTCAGAGCGTTCTGGAACGCCGTGGGAGCGTTCCGGAACGCTCTGCAACGGAGTATCCTCGGCCCAGCCCAGCCCGACCCACCCTCGGGCGTTTGCAAAACTGGGTGTAGTGAGACCTGGTTTAGTGATGTGTACTGGAGGACGCGCCCCCGCCCCGTTCCACTAAGTAACCGGAACTGCCGTCACCCGAAAAAGCACCAGCTACGGCAGACCTCGATGAGTGATTCTGTCCCATTCAGGGGCTCCAGGGCCCTGCCACTCACCCGGTCCCCTGAACCCATCCCTGGGGCCCTATAGCTATACCCGACACCCCTCCGAGACCGCGTGGTGCCGCTCACCGTGGCGCCGGCCGCGCCCGCCCCGATCGGCGGGGCGCGCCAGAGCCGGCCCTCCCGCCCGCGGCCGGCGGGGCACAGCGGCGGCGCTGGCGCGCGCGCGAGGGGCAGCTCGGGCCACGGGGGCTCTCGGCGGCTGCCGTCGCCTGGTCGGACCGCCCCGCGGACTCCGCAGCCTTCTGGCGCCAGGCGTCTTGGGGTCTCATCTGCCCCTCGGTCTTCGCCCCCTTTTTGTTCTCCGCGATCGGGGACGCGTGTCTAGGGCGGGCGGAATGTGTATGCCCCCACCCACTCGGTGTACAAACTTCCCAGTCGCCCTGGGGGCAGTTGCCACCGTGTGTGCTTCGCCCGCCTTGATTTTCTAGCATACAGTCAACCAGTATAGTGAGGATGCGCGGTAAGGATGCAAGGGCCTTGGACGCCCATTTCGAAGCTCTTCGAGCGGGGCGCGGCCAGCGAAAGCGGCGAAGGATGGACCGAGGAGGCAAGGATGCAAGGGCACCCTTGGGAAGGCTGCCTATCCTTACTATCATGGCTGACTGCATTCGATAACCAATTGAGGCAATAATATTTTTTTTTCGGCGGCATCCGGGGTCGAGAATCGCCGAGGCCGTGTCCCTGCGAGTGCCGCTTGGCGGCGCAGCACTCCGTCCCTGGGTCGAGCCGTCCCGCGGCCTCCGCGGAGGACCTTCTCTAAGGAGTCCGGGGAGCCACACGAAAAAACATACGCAAAATGCAGGGTGCCCCACACACTTGTCCATGCTTTCTGGAATTCCGTCTAGCCCTCCGTTTTCCACGTCCCACTGTTTCAATGGCAATCTACGCTTACTTGTGTTTGCGCCTCTCATCTTCTCTCTCCTGAGTTCTGGCGCCCCGCTTCTTCGGTCTTGTCCGCCTGCTCTCCCTCCCTCCTGGGAGACATGCTTTTTACCTAAAAGCGAAGACTGATAGTAGGCTTCTAGTGGGCTCAAAAGAAAGCATCCTGACTCCCCAAAAGGGTCTGAGCGGATGCCGGGGAGAATCCCGGGACTCCCCGGGACTCTCCAGGGGGGTCTGGGCGGGTGCCGGGGAGGATCCGGGGACTCCCCAGAACACAATTCCCAGGCCACATTTTGAATGCCCGGAGCCAGCTGTAGGCCACTTCGTGATCTTCGCGTTCCCAGAACACCATTCCCAGGCCATATTTCGATTCCCAGGAACCAATGGTGGGCCACTTCGTGTTCTTCGTGTTCCCAGAACACCATTCCCAGGCCACATTTTGAATGCCCGGAGCCAGCTGTAGGCCACTTCGTGTTCTTCGTGCTCCCAGAACACCATCCCCAGGCCACATTTTGAATGCCCGGAGCCAACTGTAGGGCACTTCGTGTTCTTCGTGTTCCCAGAACACCATTCCCAAGCCATACTTTGATTGCCCGGAGCCAATGGTGGGCCACTTCGTGATCTTCGTGTTCCCGGAACACCAGTCCTGTGCCATATTTTGAATGCCCGAGCTGAGGCAGGCTGAGGCCGAGGCAGGCTGAGGCTGAGGCTGAGGCTGAGGCGCCGAGGCAGGCTGAGGCTGAGGCTGAGGCAGGCTGAGGCTGAGGCAGGCTGAGGCTGAGGCTGAGGCTGAGGCAGGCTGAGGCTGAGGCTGAGGCTGAGGCTGAGGCTGAGGCTGAGGCAGGCTGAGCTGAGGCTGAGGCTGAGGCTGAGGCTGAGGCTGAGGCTGAGGCTGAGGCTGAGGCTGAGGCTGAGGCTGAGGCTGAGGCTGAGGCTGAGGCTGAGGCAGGCTGAGGCTGAGCTGAGGCAGGCTGAGGCTGAGGCTGAGGCTGAGGCTGAGGCTGAGGCTGAGCTGAGGCAGGCTGAGGCTGAGGCTGATGCAGGCTGAGGCTGAGGCAGGCTGAGGCTGAGGCTGAGGCAGGCTGAGGCTGAGGCAGGCCGAGGCTGAGGCTGAGGCAGGCTGAGGCTGAGGCTGAGGCTGAGGCTGAGGCTGAGGCAGGCTGAGGCTGAGGCTGAGGCTGAGCTGAGGCTGAGGCTGAGGCTGAGGCTGGCTGAGGCTGAGGCTGAGGCTGAGGCTGAGGCTGAGGCTGAGGCAGGCTGAGGCTGAGGCTGAGGCTGAGGCTGAGGCTGAGATGAGGCCGAGGCAGGCCGAAGCTGAGAGAGGCTGAATGGGGGGGGAAGGCTGAGGCAGGCTGAGGCAGGCTGAGGCCGAGGCAGGCTGAGGCCGAGGGAGGCTGAAGCTGAGGCTGAAGCAAGCCGAGGCATGCTGAGACGGAGGCTGAGGCTGAAGCTGAGGCTGAGGCAGGCCGAGGCTTAGGCAGGCTGAGGCTGAGGCTGACGCAGGCTGAGGCCGAGGCAGGCTGAGGCTGAGGCTGAGGCTGAGGCAGGCTGAGGCTGAGGCCGAGGCAGGCTGAGGCTGAGGCTGAGGCAAGCCGAGGCAGGCGGACGCTGAGGCTGAAACTGAGGCAGGCTGAGGCATCCGTAGGAATCCATAAGAATCCTTAGGAATCCCTAGGAATCCTTAGGAATCCGTGGGCATCCTGAGGAATCCGTAGGCATAGTTAAGCATCCTCAGGAATCCTTAGGAATCCTCAGGATTCCCTAGGAATCCTCAGGAATCCTTAGGAATCCCTAGGAATCAGGATTCCTAAGGTTTCCTAAGGATTCCTGTGGATTCCTAAGGATGTCTAAGGATGCCTTAGGAATCCTTAGGACTCCATTGGATCCTAAGGCCGTTGCCCCTGCGACTGTCATTGCGAATGCGACTGCGACTGCGAGAACAGCAGAATTCTACAACTGGATTATCACTGGAATCTTAAGGGGAATGCTTCCAGATATGCTTATACACATCGCTGTTAGGTTGCTTTGTCGGAATCATGTTTCTATATGTTCTTATTACTCGTTGGCGATGGCTCTCATTATCCAGGAGGAGAGCGGGGGGGAGAAGTTACCAACCGATCCTTTTCGCTATGGGCAGCATATCTGTCATGTCCGCGCTCACCAGTACTTAGAAGCCTCCCAAATCGGGTCCGATGGGGTCGGAGGATCGCGCCGCGTCGCCGATGCATCGGCGAAGCGGCTCGATGCGGACCTCTGACTTTCTCAACCCTGACGTCGCCGACGCATCGCAAACCTTGCCAACGCATCGACAATGCATCGGCGATGTATCGGCGATACATTGGCGATGCGTCGTAATCCTCCGACCACATCGACTCGGACCCCATGTGGGAGGCCTAGAATACTGCTGCTGCATACTCCCTTTGGACCAACCGACAGGGTCAGGTTATCCGGAGGGGGGGGGGGGCAGGCGGGCCCGATAACATGGCATATCGCTGGACCCTCTCAGAACTAGTAGCTCGTTTCCCCCCACCTCTCTTCCCAGATCAGATCTCCGAAGATGATTCGGCCTTCGGGGCCGGTGCTGCCCGAGCGGATATCAGTTTGCACATTTTCAAAGGCAACACGGCCCTGAGGTGGTCGATGCCTTGCTTATATCCCATATCCAAAGAACGGGGTTCTTGTTATTACCCACCGCGCCGACTCCTCCAGAACGTCCCTCCTCCTCCTCTTCCTTCCCATGCTATGTTGTCATATCTGCTAGGTTATGCAGTGGTATGATATGTTCTGGTATGCTATGGTATGCGCTGTTATGGTCAGTTAACCTTTGTGATGCTATAGTATGATATGGTATGGCAAGGTATGGTATAATACATCATGACATGCCATACCATGATGCCATGTTAATGATATGTTATGCTATACTATGATGTGGTATGCTGTGATAGCGATGCTGATGATGATGATGGTGGTGGTGAGAATGGTGATGGTGATGGTGATGGTGGTGGTGATGATGCTGCTGCTGCTGATGATGATGATGATGCTGCTGCTGCTGCTGATGATGATGACGGGGCAAACCCTGACGATGTCTCGAGCGAGGCGCGGGTTTCAACACCCCCAAGGGAGCCGTCAAGGAATATGTTCCTCCTCCGCTCGCGCCAAACTGGCGGGGATGGCTCGAGTGGTGTGCCTGTGTTGGGCCGCAATATCCTCCGCGTTCGGAGCAGATGTTGAATCAGTCTCGAGCGAGGCGCGGGTTTCCGCCCGCGAAGGAGGGCGCCAAAGGGTATTGCATTCTTCCGTTCGCGCCAAAACGGCGGGGCTGTCTCGAACGGTATGCCTGTTTTGGGCCGCAACATCCTCCGCTTTCGGAGCATATTCGGAGGATTTCTTGGTCGGGGCGTTGGTTGTCGCATCACTGGGGGCAGATATTGCGAGGATGTCTCGATCGGTTTGCTTGCTTTGCTGGCCGAACTGGCCTTCGTTCAGAGCAGATTATGAGGATGTCTCGGGCGAAGAGCTTGCTTTCGCACCCCAGGGGGCCCAGATTGTGAGGATGTCCCAGACTCAATTATCCTCAAACTTACTCGTGCTCAGGCTCACTCATACTCAGATTCGTACTCATCATCCTCATACTCAGACTCCGTCACACCCAGACTGGCGCACACTCGAACTCACTCACACTTAGACCACCGCACCCTCCGCCTCACTCGTAATCAGTCTCGCTCCTACTCAGGCCCACGTTTATTCCGTTTCACACTCGTCATACACACACTCAGACGCACTCACACTCGGACTATCTCACACTCAGAATTACTCACACTCAGACCCGCCCACCCTCAGATTCACTCGCAGCCAGACTCGCTCGTACTCAGGCCCATTCAGACCCAGATTCGTATTCGCTACACCCATACTCATTCACTCCTACGTGTTTTACGTATGCTCCTATAGATTGGACCTCCCTTGGGGGCACGAGTCCTTCGTGTTTTTACGTGTGTTTCTATGGAGTGTGCCTCTCCTGTGGCTCCATTCTGAAGTGTTTTACGTCGGTTCATGTATATTAGGCCTCCCATGGGGCACGACCCCCCCCCCCCAGGAGGCACCAGGAGGCCCCAGGAGGCTCCTGGAGTCTCCAGGAGGTCACACGAGGCCGCAAGAGGCTGCAGGAAGCCACAGGACGCCCCAAACGGCCCCAGGGGGCCCCAAGAGGCTCCGGGAGACCCCAGGAAGTCCCAGGAGGTTTCAATCGGCCCCATGAGGCCCCAAACTAATGCGCAGAGACGCACTTATACTACTGCGACTCATTCAAACGCCAACTCGTTCAACGTTATATTCACTCCCAGACCGTCAAACCCCCATTCCGCTTGAGTTCGAAAACTCTGGCGCCTAGACGCTCACGACTGACACATCCATGCTATGGGGAGCTCCGCGCAATGAAAACGTTACCCCGACCGCGCCGAAGGCACCTCCAACCCCTCCGCTTGCTCCGATATAGTACAACATGCAGTGATACTTTGATATATGCCATGGTGTAGCATGGTGTGGTTTGCTATGCTATGCTATGACATAACGTGCTATGGCATGCTATGCTACGTTGTGGTATGCCATGTTATGTTATGCTATGTTATGATGGTGGTGAATATGCTGACAGTGGTGGTTGTGATGATGATGCTGGTGGTGGTGATGATGCTGATGATGATGCAGATGTTGATGTTGATGGTGATGGTGATGGTGATGATGGTGATGGTGATGGTGATGATGGTGATGGTGATGGTGATGGTGATGGTGATGATGATGATGACGATGATGACGATGATGATGATGGTGATGATGATGATGATGATGATGATGATGATGCTGCTGATGATGATGATGATGATGATGATGATGTTGACGGGGCAGATTCTGATGGCGTTTCGAGAGAGGCGCGGGTTACAGCAGCCCCAAAGGGAAACCGCCACGGAGTATTGCACTCCTCCGTTCGCGCCACAACGGCGGGGACGTCTCGAGCGGTTTGTGCCTGATTTGGGCAGCACCATCCTCCGTTTTCGGAGCAGATGTTGAGGATGCCTCGAGCGAGGCGCTGGTTTTCGCCCCCAAGGGGGCCGTCAGAGGGTAGTGCGTTCCTCCGCTCGCGCCGCCATGGCGGGGATGTCTCGACTGGTTTGCCTGTTTGCTGCCGCAGCAGCCTCCGCTGTCAGAGCAGATTCTGAGGATGCCTAGGGCGATGTGCTGATTTTCACAACGCTGGGGCACCTTGCGAAGACGTCTCGAGCGGTTTGCTTTTTTTGCTGGCCAGACTCGTCTGCATTCAAATCAGATTCTGAGGTTGCTCTGGTGAGGCGCTGGTCTCGACACCCCAAGGGGGGCCAGACTATGAGGATGTCCCCAGCTCACATGCTCAACCTCACTCGTGCCTAGACGCACTCATACTCCGACTCGTACCCATCACTCTCATAATCAGACCGACTCACACCCAGACCTGCGCTCAGCCAGGCTCACTCACACTTCGACCCACGCACCCTCAGCCTCACTTGTAGTCAGACTCGCTCGTATTCAGAGCCATTCAGACTCAGACTTTTACTCACCATACTCATACTCAGACCCACTCACATTCAGGCTTGCACACACACACACACTCAGAATCACTCACATTCAGACCCACCCAATCACTCGTAGATAGACTCACTCGTAATCAGACCCATTCAGACTCAGACTCGTACGCATTAGATTCACACGCAGGCCCGCTCACACCCAGACTTACCCACACCCAGACCACTCTCACTCAGACTCGCTAAGATGGCCTTCTACGCGATGGGGGCCTTCTGGAGCCTATCGACGCCATGGCGGTGGAAGCGAGTGGTGCTCCTGGGAACGGTGATGGGGGCGATACTATCAGGGATGTAATGCTTCATCCTGTCGGACGCGCAGTACAGGCGGCTGGACCTGTGCTTGGCGGGGCTGGGGCGCATTGCCATGGCAGGGGGTGCGACCAAGTGGCTGGAGGACGGAAGCGTGAAGAGCTTGACGACGGAACCAGTGCTGGCGTACTGGCGCGTGGGCGACACGAACGCCGAGATGCCTATCAGGAGGCCGATCCGGTACCAGAGCTGGGCTCGCCGACCACGGCGCCACGCTCAACCACTCTCGACTCTCCTTGTCGACCTGCCTGGAGTTCACGGGCTGCCACCTTGCACGGAGGACGGGCTCCCAGAATCGGCATCGCCGTGGGCGAGACCTGCAGGGGAGGACATGTGCGAGGCGATCCACGTGACGGAGGACGAGGCTGAGACGCTGGAGGAGCCAGGCAGGGCCCCCTGGAAGCAGGAGGCGGACCGAGAGCTGGCGAAGAAGTTCCTGCGAATGGACTTTGCGAAGGTGAGGGCCAACAAGTACACGGTGATAATCCCTCCTCCTGGGCTGGCGCGACCAGCTGAAACGCAACGCCAGGGGACCAGCCAGGAGGAGGCACTGGCCCTGGAGCTGGAGCAGTGCGACGACGCGCTCAAGGACATCTACGTGTGCGGAGTGGAGCTGGAGGACGGCAGCAGGTGTAGGGCTCCTTCGCCACGCAACGCCAACTGCTTCACCACCAGCGTACGCAGTGCACACCAGATCAGAAACCTCTGCCACATTCTGACAAACAAGCAACCAGTGCATTGTGTGCGAGAGGGTCTTTGCGGGGAAACTGTCGGCGGCGAAGCATCTAGAACGAAGCCTTCAGAGGGGGCGGTGTGGGAAGTACAACAGTCGAGTGATTCGCCCTTTGACGGTGCCGAGTTCTTACTCTTGTGAGCTATGCGAATTCGATGGGGCTGAGTGGGATGACTTCAGGAGGCACCTCGGCTCAAACCATCTTCCCTGGCGAATCACAGCTGAACGACCTGGAAGGCAGAGCGATGGCCGACATGGACGACCTCGGGATGCCCAACTGGTTGAAGCGCGGAGCGGAGGAGACGGAAGCCCCTGGATTGGACAAGCCCAAAGACAAGAAGCCGAAGCAGCAGGAAACCAGAGGGGGCGGCGGCGGAGGCAAGGGCACCAACAACGGCATCGCGGACCTGTGCACGGCGACGGCGAAGTTGTCCATGGCGACGGCGAGGCAGGTCGCGGCGCTGGAGGCGCGCTACTACGACAGCGTGGCGGTCAAGTGCGGACAGTAGTACGACAAGGAGGGCGATGAGCTGAAGGCAAAGCAGGTCAAGGGCGAGCAGGTGGACTTCAAAGCGCGAAGCAGCCCGCACAACAGGCTCTTCACGAATACGGTGCGCTGGATCCTGCAGCAGACCGCGGCGACGGGCAAGCACGCGAACGAGACGGCCCACAAGGCGCTGGTGCAGTACGGGACAGAACAGGTGATGGTGAGGACGCCCAAGCAGCTGGAGAAGGGCTGCTACCAGCTCCGCTGCCGCAAGAGCAGGGCCCAGGAGGACAAGGACGGCACGTACGGGGTGCTCTCGATGGCCTTCGGCAGGATGGGAGCGGGGGCGGCAGCGGGCCAACCAATCTGGACGTCCACCAGGGACCCGGAGACGGCCATGGAGATGACGGGCGCAGCGCCTCGAGGACCACTCGAACGAGAGACGTCCAGGTGCCTGGCGGCCGTGACGGGCGGCAAGAAGGAGTGGGCCTTCGTGGGAGCGAGAGGCTGCGAGCCTTGACCGAGCGGGGTGCGGTGCCCGCGGACGTGCTGGTGAGAGGGAGAAACACATTTCAGACCTCCCCCTCCCCCCTCCTGCCTCAGATCCCCGTTGCAGTCTTGCCGAGGACGAATTCGGTTTCTGCAGGGGGGGGGCTAGGGTGGAGCTCGTGGTCCTGGTCGTGGTCGTGGGAGGGGGGGGACGACGCCCGAAAAGGCAGCCAGCCAGGGGCAGAAAGGGGGCTCGGGCAACCTCGAGGGGAGCCTCTGCCGTGGCGCCCACCGCCTGGCCCGCGCGGGGGCTCGTCCGGGGGGGAGACCCGAGCCCCGTTTTGGACGCCCGAAATGGGCACGGAAACAATGGGCACAATGCCCAACAGCAAATGTTGTCCCGAACTAACAGCGGCCGCTGTTGGGCAGGCGGCCTTCTGTCTCGAATGGGCACAGGCCGCGGCGGCGTGGACAGCGAGTCCTGTTCAAAATGAACAAGATCCGCTGTTGAGCATTGTACCCATTCTTTCAGTGCCCGTTTCGTTCGTCCAGACCCGTGACGGGGGCGGTCCTCCGAGGCGGGGCACCCACCCGGCTGCGCGCCGAAGGGGGTGGGCCGCCCCGTACGGAGGCAGCGCGGGCCCGGTCCCGAGGGGCCACGGCCTCGAGGATCCTTTTTATACCGTCGGGGCCTTGACCCAAGGAACCCTAAATAAGGAACGAGGCCCCTATTTTCCATGAGTTGAACTTCGATTTCGTATCGAAAACCGAAGGGAAATCTAAGGCAAGCTGCGAAACAATCAAGGAACACGGAGCCCCTCCCCAACGAAAAGGGTTCCTCCTTCAGGGCCCCGGCTGTACATCCACTCGCTCATGGGATGCTCCGAGGCACTGGTTCCATCGTTCTTAAGCTGCTGTGCAGAGACCGCCTCCCATGGAGCTATTCGACTCGATTCGATTCGATTCGATTCGATTCGATGATGATGATGATGATGAGGAGGAGGAGGAGGAGGAGGAGGAGGAGGAGAAGGAGGAGAGTAGACCAGGAGGACGAGATGAGAAGGACACGTGAGAAGGGACGGGATGAGGAGGACGACGACGAGGAGGAACAGGACGGACGACAGGAGGAACGGGATGAGGAGGAGGAGGCACCGCGCGGGCGCGGGCGGGCTCCTTGGCGGAGGCGATGCCGTCCTCCGTGGTGGCCATGGCAGTCTCGAGGTCTGACACCTCGGGCTTCCGCGCAAGCAACCGTTGCCCTCCTGCGCCTTCGCCTCCGTCCCTTCTCCATCTGTCTTCCTCCCTCCTCCTCCCTCCTCCTCCTCCGCCTGCTCCTCTTCCTCACAATCACCATTACCATCACCATTATCATCACATAACCAGGATCACCATGATCACCATGATCGTCATCACCACCATCACCGCTATCATCATTACCACCACCACCATCACCCGTAGCCCTTTTGACCCAAGCCACGGGCTCCAGCACGTGCGCGAGTGCGCGTTCCCTTGGGCCCCCACGGGATGGCGGCTCGCGGCGGCAGCGCTGCGATCGCCCTCATGAAGGCGGCGGTGCGTGCCGAGGTACTGCCCCGCGCAGGACTTCTGCTGCTGCGGCAGCTGCCGAAGCAACTGCGATTCTTGGCGGCGCCGCTGCGCCACGGCGCAACGGCGAAAGAGAGGTGCACGAGACAATCCTGCGGGACTTTGAAGCCGTCATTCGACCGACGACGACGACCGACGACAGCAAACGATGACGCGACGAAGACGCGGGCGGGACATTGAAGCCGTCATTCGACCGACGAAGACGACGGCGGCGACGACGACCGACGACGACCGACGACGAACAAGGACGATGACGACGCCGACGACCGACGACGAAGACGACGCCGATGACGACGACGACAACGACGACGACGGCTGCGACCACCAACGACGACGACGACGATGGCTGCGACCACCAACAACGACGACGAAGACGCCCGCCAACGACAACGCGACGAAGACGCGGGCGGGACATCGAAGCCGTCATTCGACCGACGACGACGACGGCGACTTCGACGACGACGACGACAAGCGACGACCGACGACGAACAACGACGACGACGCCGCCGACGACGACGACGACGCCAACGCCGACGAAGACGACGACGACGACCGACGACGACGACGGATGCGACCATCAACGACGACGACAACGATGGCTGCGACCACCAACAACGACGACGACGACGACCGCCAACGACAACGCGACGAAGACGCGGGCGGGACATTGAAGCCGTCATTCGACCGACGACGACGACGGCGACCTCGACGACGACGACGACCTGCGACGGCCGACGACGAACAACGACGACGACCGATGACGACGACGGCTGCGACCATGAACGACGACGATGACGATGGCTGCGACCACCAACAGCGACGACGACGACCGCCAACGACGATGCGACGAAGACGCGGGCGGGACATTGAAGCCGTCATTCGAGCGAGCGTCTGGGCCCTGACGGGCGGGCGGACCCTGGCCCCAACAAGTGTGCCGGGCGGGACCACGCGCATGGGCCGGATGGGCGGGCGGACCCCCGCTGGGCGGGTGGGTCGGGCGGGCTGTTATGCGAGAGGTCGAGCCCTGACGGGCGGGTCGGGCTGACCATCCCCGTCGTCGTCGTGGTCAGTCGGTCGGTCGGTCAGTCGTCGTCGACTGCCGGCTCGGAGTGGTTGTCGAACATCCCTCTCGCCCCACCTCAGACGCGAGTGGCGGGGGGGTCCCCCTCGGTTTCTACCCTCTGCACCTTTTACCCAAATGGGGAGTCCCAACACCCCCGCAAAACGGCCGAGAAAAAACGCCCTCTCCTCCTGATCAGCTTCCTCATCCTCTTACTTCCTCCTCCTCCCTCCTCCTCAATCCATTTTCCTTGCAAATAGCTCCTCCCCGTCGCACCCCGAGGCGTGTAGGTAGTGCGGGCCAGGCGTTTCGCCTGAGACTTTCGCGCCATCTTCGATCTGTAAGCTGAAACTGTGCAAGAGTTTTACGGATAGAGGGCGGGCCGTTTTCGAAATGTGGCTCTCGCCGTAGCGCCGCACACATGTCTTAAACAGTTTGCAATAGTTTGCAGGGCAGGCCGTCTTCAAAATGTGGCTCTCCATTAGCGCCGCGCGCATTCGTCTTACAAGAAGCGCAACACTTTCACACATGGATCCTTTTCAAAATGTGGCTCTCGTTTTAGCAGCGCGCACTCTGGTTTTAAACATTTGCATGTTTCTGGTGATGGAGAGCGGTACCTTTTTCAAAAGTGGCTCTCGCCCCAGCTCCACGCACATTATTCCTACCATTTTGCGGATGGAGGGCGATACCTTTTCCAACATGTGGCTCTCGCGTTATAGTGCCGCGTGCAGTCGTCTCCAGAGTGTACAACACTTTCAAGGATTCTCATTGTTGACGTCCCGCAAATGGTGATTTGGCGAGAAGTAGGACTGTCAAGGCTGAGCGTCTACGTTGATTCGCGGTGTTGAAGTCCCAAGAAGGTTCTGGCACGATCTAGGATCATCAGGACGCAACAATAACGTTCGTTCGCGGCGCTGAAGTCACAAGAATGGCTGGCACGGTTCAGGATTTTCAAACGGTTGTCTTCCAACGGGGGCACCTTCCTGAGTGAGACATACATCCTTATAATTAGGGAACTATTCAGAGGGAGCTTGGATGGAGGGTTTATTGCATCATCGTTGATGCATCTTGGGTTTACACTGGTCCTTTTTCCTCCTCCTCCTCTTCTTTTCTACCTCCTTCTTTTCCTTTCTCACCCTCTTCTCCCACTCCTCTCTTTCTCATCCACTTCCTCACGCGTTCATCCTCATCATCCGCCTCGAATCCAAGACAACACGGGTGCGGATCATACGGGGCGAAACTGGGAGAGAGCAAGGCCACGGCCTTCTTCTCCAAGTCCTTCTTTTTGTCGTCCGACTCGTCCAGCTGCTTCGAGCAGTAGTTCAGCTTGCTGTCGTCGTCCAACTGCTCAGCCTGAGGAGGCACCAGCGAAGTGCATGGACGGCGAACGTGTGCTGGACCCAGAGATCCGATGCCCGATGCCATGCTTTTTCCAGTACGGAGTCCACTGAAGTCTCGACCCTTTCACCAGGGCCGATTGTTTCATCCTGTAGCGTTTTTGGACTGTCCCAGGGCCCGCCGGATGCTCCCAGAGATTGCCCATAGTGGTCCTGGCCCATAGGGCCCCTTGCTCTTCTCGCCTTTTTACGAGCTCCAGGGGCCCTGCGGGCACCGCAAAGGGTTGCTCTGGAGGCCGTGGATGCGTCCCTAGGAAATCCTGGAGACACCCTGTGCCGGGGACAACCTTCTGAAGGGTGTCCTGTCTAACCTCTTCGGATTCTCGTTGCGCACGTGAGCCCATCTTAGGCCGCGACTGCTGCAGCCTGACTCGTTTTGCTTTGTAGAGGACAAGTATCCCCCGTTCAGCTGAGCGACGATCAAAACGGGTCTTACGCGAGATGACACAGCGACCTTACGCGGCGGCCTACGCGGGCCGCCCGCGCGGCATTCTGCATTGGAGACGAGGTCGCTTACGCGCGACCTTTCGCGGTCAACTCACGCACCAATGTCGGCGAAGACCACCCCGTCTGTGTGCGCTGCTCAGCTTCCTTTCAGGGACACTCAGAGAAGGCTGCCCACCCTGGCACCCCCTTTCAGGGGCAATGTTAGCGGGAGACCGGCTCAGGGAGGGGGGGGATCATCGGGCAGGCATCGGCGATACATCGCCGATTGATCGGCGACAGGCTCCCGATAGTGAATCCGCCTGCTCTTGGGCGGTGTTGGCTGTCAGGCCCGCATCGGCGAGAATGGGCGACTGGGGGTTGGTGCATCCCCCCCTGAGCCTATCTCCCCACTGACGTTGCCCCCGAGGTTTTCGGGTCGAGCCGTACCTCGGCTCAGCGGCGGCCGTTCGGCGCGATCTGAGCACCCCTGGAACGCCCTCGGCGAGGCGCGGCTGCTGGAGAGCACCCGGCGGCTGGAAAGCC